GGATGAGGTGGGTTTTTTCCCCCCTCCTCCCCTTCTTTCACTTGGGCTTCTCTCTCAGATCTCTCCCTCCCCCCGGTCCCTAACTCTCCCTCGTCCACCAGTGGGGTTCCCCCCCACTGTTGTTGTTACAAGTGACGCTGTAGTTGATCAACCTAAATGAAAATCCAAACGGAGCGGTTGTCTATTTTACAAGCCCACCATCAGGAATGTTATTACTACATAGTTATTTCTTACTTGGCTTCAAAATGGCCTCTGCAGGCCATTTTTTCTGGTGTGTGTGTGTGTGTTGTGTGTGTGTACTTATTCTGAGATTGCAGCCACTTTAACTAGACAGAAAAAAAAGAGGTGAATTTACAAACAGGGAGGAGGAGCAGGAGCAGCAGCAGGAGGAAGAGAAGGAGGAGGAGGAGGAGGAGGAGAAGAAGAAGTAGCAGTAGTAGTAGTAGTTGTAGTAGAGGAGGAGGAGGAGGAAAAGAAGAGAAAGAGGTGAGGAAGAGGAAAAGAAGAGAAAGAGGAAGAAGTGAGGAAGAAGCAGAAAAGGAAGAGGAAGAGGAAGAGGAAAAGAAGAGGAAGAGGAGGAAGAGGAGAAGAAGGAGGAAGGAAGAGAAGGAAGAAAGGAAAAGAAAAGAGGAGGAAGATGTGGAGAAAGAAGAAGAAATGGAGGAAGAGGAAGAGGAAAAGAAGATAAAGAGGAGGAAGAGGAGAAAAAGAAGGAAGGAAGAGGAAAAGAAGAAAAGAAGAGGAAGAGGGGGAGGAAGAAGAAGAAAAGGAAGAGGAAGAAGAGAAAAAGAAGAGGAAGAAGAAGAAAAGAAAGAGGAGGAGGAGGAGGAGGAGGAGGAAGGAGAGGGAAGGGAGATGGTAAACAACCTGGCAAGCTGTTTTGCATCCCCCCCCTTAAGCTTTTGACTTCCACAATGCCAACCTGGAGAAGAGCTCAAAGACTTTTAAATGACAGATTTTCCTTTGAGCAGCTATTTTATTTGTGCACGAAGAGAACGATATTTTTTCTATGAGCCCACCAAGTCTATGTAACATCGATAAATCCCTTTTTTTATTTTTGGTCCCTTCGAACAAGATCTATCAAGAAGTACATTGATACCTCAAGTAACCCCAGAGTGATTAACCACTTACACCCTGGAAGGATCAGAATAAAAGAGCTATTATACCCAAGCCTTCCTCTTCTACTCTGTGACCTGTTTACCTGCTTTGTATGGGATACTCTGGCCAAGGAATGTTGGCTTCAAAATTGCAGTTCCTTAATAATCGGTTAGGGATGCGGTGGCTCAGGGACTAAAATGCGGAGCTCGTCGATCAGAAAGGTCGGTGGTTTAGCGGTTCGAATCCCCAGCGCCGCATCATGGAGTGAGCACCGTTACTTGTCCCAGCTTGTGCCGCCCTAGCAGTTCAAAACCACGTAAAAAATGCAAGTAGAAAAATAGGGACCCTTTGGTGGGAAGGGAACAGCGTTCCCTGCACCTTTGGTATTTAGTCATGCTGGCCACATGACCACAGAGACGTCATGTATGTCTAGTCTAATGCACGGACACGGTGGCTCAGTGGCTAAAACGCGGAACTCGTCGAACAGAAAGGTCAGTGGTTCAGCGGTTCAAATCCCCAGTGCTGCATCATGGAGTGAGCTCCCATTCCTTGTCCCAGCTTCTGCCGCCCTAGCAGTTCAAAACCACGTAAAAAATGCAAGTAGAAAAATAGGGAGCCCTTTGAGGGGAAGGTAACGGCATTCCATGCGCCTTTGGTCCTGCCGGCCACATGACCATGGAGATGTCTTTGGACAACGCTGGCTCTTTTTTGGCTTTGCAATGGAGAGGAGCAGTGCCCCCTAGAGCCGGAAATGACGAGCACGGATGTGCAAGGAAGGGAACCTTTTCCCTTTTACCTTTAATAATCGGTTTGGTGTTGAATTCATTTCTCGGTTCAAACATTGCAATTGCAGTGAGATATGCAGCTACTCCAAATCTACCCCGCTCCCTCCAAGATTGTACAGGTAGTCTTTGACTTTCAACAGTTCATTTAGGGTCCATTCAAAGTTACAACGTTATTGAACAAAGGGGACTTATGGACATTTCTCACACTTAACAACCATTTGCAGCATCCCCACATCAAAATTTGGATGCTCAGCATCCATGATGGTTTGCCATGACCCGGGGGGTTGGGCTGGGGGTGGGGTCAGGTGATCCCCCTTCTTTAACCTTCTGACAAGCAAAGTCAGTGGGGAAACTGGATTCACTTAACAACGGTGATAGTAACTGAACAATGGCAGTGATTCATTTAATGACGTGTCAAGAAAGGGCTGTAAAATAGAGCAAAATTCACTGAACCAATGTTTCACTTAGCAGCTGGAATTTTGGGCTCATTTGTTCAGGTCCACCTGTATTTTAAATGTTAGTAGAAAGTTTACTCCTCCTCCAACTTCAGAAAGAAACCTCTGCTTAGGTCAGAGGTCTCCAAGCTTGGCAACGTAAGACTTGTGGACTTCAACTCCCAGAATTCCCCAGCCAGCCATGCTGGCTGGGGAATTCTGGGAATTGAAGTCCACACATCTCAAAGTTGTCAAGTGTGGAGATCCCTGGCTTAGATCATAGGCTGGTACATGCATGAGTTGGGAGAGCTAAGTCAACCTTAGTTGACTTCACACAAGAGCACGGAGGAAGACTAGGACATGAGAAAAAAACATATCTTTGCCATCTGAGGCCCCTGAAATCTGATCATGATCCTAACCCAACCATTTGCATTTTATCTGCTATTCCCCTCCCCTCAAATAACCACAGAATAAAGCTTCCAGTCTTCTTCGTTGCTCTTCTCTGCACTCTTCCCAGAGTCTCAACATTTTTTTTAATCATGGCAACCAAAACGGGACGCAAATATTCCAGGTGTGATCTTACTTTGGAATACATACCTTGTTTCCCCGAAAATATGACCTACCCTGAAAGTAAGTCCTAGGTTGATTTTTACATGTGTGCCCAACCCCCAAAATAAACCCTAATTAAGATCCCGCCCACTCCAGAGTGCACAGGTAAAAATTAAGCTAGGGTAGGGATGGGAGGGGAGGTGGAGCTGCCCTACTACTTACCTTCGGACAGTTGTAGCCAGGCCTCACACACCCCGATACCTGCCTGGCCGGTCCATTTCTTCTGCAGCCAGCAAGGCTGGCAAGGCTTTCCTGAAGGACACTGGAGCTGAGAACAAAGCTCTGGATTGATCCAGAGCTGTTATCGGCTGCAGAGGCCTTCAGGGAAGCCTTGCCGGCCACAGAAGAAGAAGTTCCTAAAGGCCTCTGACAGTGAAAAGGAGGCTGGCGGCTCACGCACAAGTGAGGTTAGTCAGTGGATGATATCCCCCGAAAATAAGACCTGGTGCCTTTTTTGGTGGCAAAAAAGTATATCAGACAGGGTCTTATTTTCAGGGAAACACAGTACACAAATGCTATACGTGCCACAAATTCTAATGCATTGTGTAAATCTCATGGTCATGGTTGTTGCAATTCATATCTACCTGTGGTTTCTACCCGGCCCAAAGAAGGCAGGTGCAGACGAGGAGAATATTAAATGCAGAAGTGCCTGGAGGTGGTGGGAGAAGAATTGGATTCTTGCCCCTTCAAATCTTGGAATTGGTTCTTAGTCCTTGATGCCAACCAGTTTGTCATCTGGGTCTGGTTCCCTATTGGTAAAAGACTAATAGAATTGATCGGTCTCCTCTAGCTATTTTTAATATGAGGAAGTAATTCTATCCTTAAGAGGGGAGCAAGCTATATTTAAAAAAAATAATCCCCAATTAATGATCCCAGTAAGTTTGGCTGGAAACCAGCTGTCCATCAGCAGGCGTCTAGTGGCCGTATAAGTACAGCTGATCTAGATTGGGAGGATTCCATAAATGGAAAGTGACGCTTATAGATATTGGGTCATTATTTGGCAGGTGCTCTGCTTTCTCGTGCCATGAACATATTTCAGCACCTGTTTATTGTAAGCAAAGTGTGGCTTAGCTGCGGAAGCTTGCTCTTATGTGTGTTGGGTTTAATAATTTTGGATGTGATTGGCAGAAGAAGGGAAAAGGTGGGAGCCGGGGTTGCCCTGGTGACATTTTAGATGCTGCTTCCTTTCGTGCATGAGCCAGTTATGACTCGAGATGGACAGCTGCTGTTGAAAAGACATTGTGCTCTCCTCCTAGTATCTGGTTTGGAGAAAGAAGGGGGAGAGGGTGGAAGATGGCATAACATTCTATCTAGTTCTCTCGTTCAAAGACTGTGGTTGGTTGGTTGGTTGGATGGTTGGTTGAATGATTGATTGGATGGATGGATGGATGGATGGATGGATGGATGGTTGGTTGGTTGGATGGATGGACGGATGGATGATTGATTGGATGGATGGATAGATGGATGGATGGATGGATGGTTGGTTGGTTGGTTGGATGGATGGATGGATAGATGGATGGTTGGTTGGATGGTTGGATGATTGGATGGTTGGTTGGATGGTTCGTTGGTTGGTTAGATAGTTGATTGGTTGGTTGGATGGTGGGTGGATGGATGGATGGAAGCAACCAAAAAATAAGGGTTATTAAGTGAGACATTCATTAAATCAGTTTTGCCCCATTTCATGACACTCCTTGCCACAGTTGTTAAGTGAATCACTGCGGTTGATAAGTTGGTAACCTGGTCATTAAGTGAACCCTCATGGGCTTGGCTTGTTAGAGGGTCACAAAAGGGCATCACGTGACCCCGGGACACTCTGTCATAAATACGAGTCATTCGCTAAGTGTCCAATTTTGTATATTGCAGCAGTTGTACGTGTGAAAAACATTCCTCGGTCCCTTTTTTTCAATGCCGTTGTAACGTGGCACAGTCACTAAGTGAACTTGAGGACTTATCTGTACAGCCAACTCTGCTTGATTTATCAGGTGAGGGAAGGGAATTAGCTGAGAGGTAGCTATCCTTCTGTCACCCTTCTCAGCTTTCTCTTCTTTCTCTTCTTCTCTCTGCTTCTCCGCAGTGTGCTGCTTTAGTCGGGGAAGACCAACCTCTCTGCCCAGATCTCCCAGAACTCGATCTCTCCGAATTAGACGTGAATGACCTGGATGACAACGGGTTCCTGGGTGGACTGAAGTGGTACAATGACCAATCCGAAATCATCTCCCATCAGTATCCTACTGAGACATCCAACATATTTGAGGTAAGAAAAACAACCGACGCTTGTCTGAGTGAAGTTTAGTGTTCTTGGTGATGGGTTGGTCGTCTCTCAGCTTTGATCTTTGATCTGAGATTTTTTCCAAGGCTCAGAGTTATTGGATTCTGTTTCTCGGGAATTGTGGTTTTGGACTCTGCAGATATGAAATTATGGGACAGAAGCAGGGGTGGGATTTAGCCGGTACAGACTGGTTTGGGCGAACTGGTTGTTTCGCGAAGCATGCACTCAACAAGCCAGTTGTTACACCAGTTGGTGTAACCATTGGACAGAAGGAGAAATTCACCCAAAGCAAGCCTGCTTTAGTGGCAATAAACTCACCAACATCTTATTGGGTCAACTTGGGTTAGGTGCTACCCAGAAACTTTACAGAGGGTGGCGATTTAAACGCCTTTCTCAGAAATAAATAAATATGGATCTAGTTTGGAGGGTAGAACCAGCGGGGTGGGAAAATGTGACATGGACAATAGAATTTTGTAGATCTGGGTGCATTTAACCAGGCAGAATCTAGTCCTCAACATATGACCAGATTCCGAGTAGCCAATTTCTGTCATTAAGGGAGACATTTGTTAAGTGGGTTTTCCTCCCCTTTTACAACCTTTCTGGCCACAGCTGTTAAGTTAATCACTGCAGTGGATAAGTTAGTAACCCAGTTGCTAAATGAATCTGTTTTCCCCCATTGACTTTGCTGGTGTTGTGGCCCGCCAGCGGCCAGCGGAGCTGGCGGCAGACTCGGACAGTGACGAGGTTGGGGAGGAATAATGGGCCAATCCTGGAGTCTGGGGAAGACGAGGGCTCTGTGTTGGAGGCAGAGATGGGGCCACTGTCTGGCTGTTATCAGCTGTCTTTAGAGTCGGAGATCAGTGGGGTAGAAGAACAGCTGGAGCCTGTTCCCAGTGTGTGCATGCGCAGAACTGCCAGGAGAAGGGAACAGCTAAGGAACAAAGGTTGACTCAGGAGTAAAGGTTCAGGTGGATGGTGAACAGCCCCTCCCATAGGGAATAAAGCGGAGCAAAAGGAGAGGGGGATTTGCAGGAGACAATTGTTCAGTTCATGAGGGTGAAGATCTGTTCCTGACTTCTTGCCAAGTAATTGCTGCTACAGCGTGGTGTTTGGAAGCTATTGGCCTGGAAACTGTTCAAACCTGATAAAGGTCTATAGTTGTGGAATCTCTTGAAAGACTGTTAGCCGGAACTTTGCTGGAGAGGAATTCCCTTTGACCTAAATAAAAGGAGTTTTATCGGGATGAGGAGTTGGCTTCATGATCTCGGGAATAACAGCTAGTCAAAAGGTTGCAAAAGGGGGATCACGTGACCTTGGGATGTGGCAACGGTCGTAAATGTGAGTCATGTATGAATTTTGAACTGGATGAGCGTGGCGGATGCTCCCACAGCCGTAAGTGTGAACAAACGGTCCTAAGCTACTCTATTCAGTGCTATTGTATCTTTGAACAAACTGTTGTAAGTTGAGGACTATCTCTATACGTTTTGCAGCTCTCCCCTATAGCAAATGCTAAGATGTGGGGAAATCAAATTTTTTTGGGGGGAAAGGTAGACAGAAGGAAATTAAACGGTGAGTGGGATGAAACTACGTTTGCTTCCTCTGATGGCCCAGAGAGTCATAATTGGTTCATAGTTGGTTTTATCAGGGTTTATTGTGGCCCCGGGGAAGCTAACCATGATCAGCTCTGAAGAGAAACCATGGCAGTCTGGAAATGCTTTAACACCTAATTCATTATCCGTTGACTCTTTTTTATATATATAATATTTTTTAAAATTTATTTTTAATATAATCATTCCCTCTTCAGTTGAACAGTGTGTTGTCTGGGTACAAATACCTTTGTTAAACCATAATCAGAATTACCCTTCATTAAATTAATATTGATTCTGCAATCTTTACCATAAATAATATTTCACCCATTAATTCTACACTATTAGCATAATAATATTCAACATATTTACTTATCTCTTTTCATGCATCTTTGTTTCTGTTTCTAACTCCCATTTTTATTATTTATTTATTTCCCCCCAATAATTTTTATTGTTCTTTTTCAACTTTTACACATTTTAACCTTAATATTAACAGTGCTGTGCCATCATCATTATATAAAGTAATCTCATGTAAATATCTACATTTACATACATTCATATACATTTAACTATAATTTTCTAATCTCTGTTATCTTTATTTTTATTGTTCGACCATTTATACCAATTATCCCAAATTTCATAATAACCTGACTCTTCTTTATTTTTTAATTTTCACATCAATGTATCCATTTCAGCACAATCTAGAATTTTTTGAATTACTAATTCCTCTGAGGCTGTGTTGTTTTGTTTCCATTTTTATTATTTAACCATTGGTAAAACAGTTCTCATGCCATATAGTATTCAGTTCACTCTTTCTCCTTCACTGCTATTATTAATCTATTCATTTCTGCACATTCTCGTTTTTATTGATTTATTGATTGATTTGATTTGATTTGTCAATCGCTTACAAGATAATAGGTTTAAGTATAAACATGAGTAAGAATGCAGGAAATAGGTACGAATAAATGGGGACAATAGGACAGGGATGGGAGGCACGATGGTGCACTTATGCACGCCCCTTAATTTTTCCCTAATCACGTTCTCATCCATAGGTATCTCTTCCCTCTTCCAATTTTGTTCCATCCGTTTTGACTTTTGAAAGTTCTGCGTCCAATTGCGAGCATTTATTTGGCAGTGATTAGTAATACGATTGATCTTTGATCGTCCCAATCAATCTCGATTCGAATTGAATAGGTGGAAATCTCTTTTGGATGTGCACGAAAATTGGAAGGAAAATTGACTTGTGGTCTATACCTTTTCTATACTATTGGCCCAGGACATTTTTTATTCCACGTTTTCAACTGAAAAAAAAATTCCCCTCGGGCTGCTTCCTGAAGATCAATAAAAGCAAGACAGATCTTCTATCTGTCTCTCTTTTTTTCCTTCAGGCTAGGAGATCTACTGTGGCCAGAGGGAGAGCAACCTTTAATTTGTTGTGGATAGAAATACTAGTTGTAGCCGCTTAAAAGGCTTTAACAAGAATCCTGGAGGTCTGAGTTATTTTTACTGGGGCCCTTAAGGTTCCTTATCAGTCTGATTTACAGGGTGTTTTGCCACGGGGATTGCTGGGTTGTGTGGTTGGGTCACCCATCCGCCAGATGGAGGTTGCCAGGACAAACCTGAAATTCCTCCCATTCTCCCAGATTACATTTAACATCGCTGGCTGTTAATGTTTATGAAGCTGCCTGGAGGAGGTTGGAAGGAAGGGTAGTAACGGTTGAAGGGAGAAATGTTACACTGAGCAATTCTTGTTTGCATTTTTCTTTCCTTTGAGCTCCTGGGCTGCGGGCTGTTCCAATACTCTCTGTCTCTTTCAAACAAACATCTGTTTGCATGTCAGGACAACCAGACATAAAAATTGTTTCCACCCCCCCCCCCACAACCCCATGCCATCACTCTGCTGAACACTTGATTCCCACAGCATTCTCCCATCTTCTCATCTTTCTTAGTATCGTCTCCTGTTGGTGCCTTGTGATTTATCAATCGTTGTTTGTAACTTATTATTAGTGATTGTAACTATGACGATGAAGAACTAGGACCTGTCACTTTGTCGTTTATATGCACACTGAGAGCTTATGTGCCAGAGACAAATTCCTTGTGTGTCCCATCACATTTGGCCAATAAATAATTCTATCCTATCCTATCCTATCCTATCCTATCCTACCCTATCCTAGTTCATTCTATTCTATTCTATTCTATTCTATTCTATTCTATTCTATTCTATTATTTCCTTCCATTCCATTAATTCTACATTCTATCCATTCCATTCCATTCTTCATTATTCTGTTCTGTTCTGTTCTACTCCACCCCACTCCACTCCATTCCATTCCATTCTCCAAATTCTACACTGTATTCCATTCCATTCTATTCTTCATTCTATTCTGTGCTGTTCAGTTCTATTTTGTTGTACTCTATTCTACTCCTATTCTACTCTCCTTCATTCTATTCCATTCCATTCTCCAAACTCTACATTGTATTCCATTCCCTTCCATTCCATTCTTTATTATTCTACTCTGTTCCGTTCTGTTGTACTCCGCTCCACTCCACTCCATTCTGTTCCATTCCATTCTTCATTATTCTGTTCTGTTCTGTTCTGTTCTATTCTTATGTGAGAAAGTGTGAAAAACAGTTATAAGTCACTTTTTTAAGAGTGGTTGAAACTTTGAATGAGTATATGGGTTGAAACTAAATGGGTCATATGGGTCATGAAGGGCCAGCTTTGGTGATTCCTCATTGGTTTCATCATTGGTTCAATTCCAGTTGCAGGTGAATTCCTTGATGTTTCTCATCATGCTTGGAACAGCTGGGGATAAGATGTTTGGGTATCCTTCCTTGGTTTTTTTCTGCAGTGCTTCGTAATAGCTGGCATGGTTTTAATAGCCACCTGTAGCTTCCTCAAAGTTCATATTTGATGGAAAGGTGGGGTATTTTAAACAAGTCATGTGAAGAAGTAATGGAATGTAACAAATCACATTGATCAATCTGTTGTCAAGAAGTGTTATATGGGATTTATTAACGCGTGAAGTGTTAATACCACTTGGCAAGGCCTTGGCAAGACCACACTTTGAATACTGCATTCTACTCTATTTCTCTTCTCTTCTATTACTCTTCTCTTCTATTTCTCTTCTTTTCTCTCCTATTCTATTCTATTTCTCTTCTTTCCCCTCCTCTCCTACTCTACATTTAAAATAAATATTTAAAAATTCACACTTCATTCTGTCCCTCCTTTTGCATCCTTTCATTAATGATTTTATTTCACCATTTCTTTAATATTAGAGTAACTCTTGGCCCCCAGTGACTTGGCTGCAGCAAGTTGGCTGTGGTGAGTTGGCCTTGGCGAATTGTCATAGACCCAGATTGCTCTGTGTGTGTGTGTGTGTGTGTGTGTGTGTGTGTGTT